TATATATATATATATATATATAAATATACACACTAGAAACACAACTCATTAGGAAATAAATATAAAAATATACTATTATTATTTATTTTTATACCAATATACGCAATTCCATAACCCATATTACGAGTGCCCATTCTATAAGAGCATGTTGGTATTTGAACTTCATGGATATCACCTACATCCATTCTTAATTCATAAAGAGGTGTCTCGTCAGGTGGAAGAACCCAGATTTCACTTAATTGATCAGTCGCCGTATCCAAGCTTATGTGTAACGCTTTATGTTCGTGCGCAGTAAAAATAATTTGTGGTGATAATTCTTTGATAATCTACAACGAAAACATAAATAAAAAACATCATCATTGTCGTTGCCGTCGTTGTTGTCATCGTTATCATCATCATAGAGTATCTCTTATAAATGTATGTATAGACATACATTTTGTACAAAACTTCCTGGCATAAATAACAATGGTATATGACTAAGTACAACATTGGTTGTATTTCTTTCAGCATAATCATTAAGAAATGCATCCTTAGGAGCTTCCGGCATAAAACGAGTCAATCTGTTAACCTAAACAGGAATAAAAATAAAGAACAAACAAAAAATATATATTTACTAGAAAATAAAATGAGTTTAATGAAAATCGGATAGCTTCAAAAATCTGTATATCAAAGGTATGTTACCTTAAAAAATGTAACACGTTTATAAACTAACACGTCGGGCTGACTGTATGCATAACGAAATCTATTATGAATATTCATTGAGACCTTATTTTCTTCTCCTCCGATATCATTGTCGCCAGGTAAATAAATTTTCTAATTAATGTCAAGTAAATTGGGTAAAATATTAATCAAAGCGATACAAAATATATCATTCAGATAAATGAAATAGATCATTAATCATAAATCATTTTGTAAAACTATAATACCATTATATCATCAGAAGTTTGAAATATATAATCCAATCTTTTTTTATATTTATTAAATTTTTCTATGTCAGAGATATGGCCTTCATCCATGAGATCACCAAGAAATACTATAACATTTGGTTGAGAGTATTTTAAAGCTCTTGAGAAGGTTTTTTCTAAGTACCTGTAAATAATACACTGTGGAACAAAACCGAGATCAATTTTAACAATTCATTAAGTATTTTAAAAATGTTAATATATATATTTAAATGTATACTGGGTATCCAAGGTTTTACCGATCAAACAGTGTCAGTGTATTGTAATTATTCTATTTGGTGTTATACTTACCTATCGCTATCCCATCTTGCTACCCACGAGCCCATATAATTCTCATTTTTCTCTCCTAATATTTGCGGATCCGCTACTAGAAGTACTTTAACGCAATCTGTACAATCTGGCAAAGTCCATTTAAATTTTTGTATCTCATATACAAGATATTCATTATAAATAATAGTGGCAAATATAATGGTACCAATGCAAATTATTTTATGTTTCAACCTAAGTAATAAATTTTCATTATTATTATTATTGTTATTATTATTATTATTATTATTATTATTATTATTATTATTATTATTATTATTATACATATACATTACTATTCATTTATTTATAAAATAAAAAATCTATAAGTAATATTACACACAATTCTTTGGCAAATAAATATACAAAATTTAATGGTTAATTATTAAATTTAATCATCAATTTATTAAATTGGATTAAAAATAATAAAAATTTATTCCGTTATATAATTACCTATTTCGCCTCAACATTTTAACGTTTTTTATTTATTTTTTTAATAACAACACTTTACAATTTATAATTCTGATATTATAAATTAACTAATTTCCAATGTTCTCATATTGTTGTTAATTTGAATAATTGTTTGAGAGTATTTTTAATGTTTCCAGAATTTTAATTAGAGAATAATAGAAGTTATATATACACTTTTATATGTTACATGTATTAGAATTACAACCCCTTTTGCAATTAAGAGCAAACTGTAGGGTTTCCAGATTAGAGGGTAAAAATCATCTCCTGATACTGTAAGTTCGTATTTTCAAATTCAGATGGCGCAGTAATGTAGTTCCACATTTTTTTACTACAGGCACGTATATTACTCTTTGTACTACCAGAAGATTTCGAATCATTCATGTGTGTTTAAGGAAGTACATCCATACTTTGCAATTTATTATTTGTAATAAAATAAAAAATTGTTCATTTTATTTATATAAATTATATATAAACAAAACAAGTAAAGATGGCAGAATTCGTAGAAAAACGATGCGAGGATATGATTCCTGAATTGGAACAAATGGAAAGGATAAAACTTTTTGACAAAAACGAAATTCGGTATGTACAAGATATTCATTGATATTTATTCTTTATATAAAAATACAAATAAAATTTAGTCTTTGTAACGTTAATGTTAATGTTTATGTTAACGTTAATTTTACATGACATATATACAATCTCTTTTTACAATAATCTTTATAACAAAGTTTATTTATTACTGTGCCAACAGAGGTATAGCAAAAAAACTCAAAGAATTTGAATATAAAATTCAGCGACCTGTAAAATGTAAAGAGGATTACTTGCGATACATTCAATATGAAATGGATCTCCTAAAACTAATTAAACAGCGTAGAGATGTAAATAATTTTTTCTATCCTTTTTCTTTTATTATCATATTGCACACAGTAAAGTAGATTCTAATATATTTTACTTAAATGTATTATTTTATTTAATAGAAATTTGGCATTACTCATAAAAAATCTAATATCGATTATGCCATTCGAAATAAAGTTAATCTTTTATACAAAGAAGCTATATCGAAGTTCCAAGAAGATATTAGATTTTGGATCGCATACATTAAATTTTGTAAACACATGGTAAGTCTATTTGTTATATAATAAATAAATTAGAAATAGATTAAATTGTGCTAATCATAATGCGATTGTTTTGTTCAGCGTTTTCAAAATAGCGGTAATAGAACAATAGTTAAAATGTTACAAGTGCATCAAGATAAACCTAAATGTTGGCACATAGCGGCACGCTGGGAAATTGAAGAGAATAATAATAGAGATACTGCTCGTAAATTACTTCTTCGTGGTTTATATATTCATCGAAATTCACAGATATTATTAATCGATACTTTCAGGTAAATATAAATAAATATTAATTTATATTAATTTAATTTAAGGATAACAGTAATATATTCAGCTTGCTTATAGATTAGAATTAGATGAAACATTAAAAAATACTAAAAATAATGAAAGCAAAATGCAAAGTGCCCCGTCTGAAAAAGATGATGAAGATGATATGCCTTTACTATTGAAAACAGCTTATGTTATATACAAAGAAGCGAGCAAACACGTTGAAGATATCAAATTTATTGTAGAATTACTTAATATAGCAAAAGAATATAAGGCAGAAAAATTGGAAAAGAAAATTGTTAGGTAAATTTTATTTTGTTATAAATTTATAGACAATGACTTAGAATTAGATTATGATTTATTTTATCTCAAATATTTATATATTTTAGTGACATGATTCAACAATATGCGCATGAACCTTTAATGTGGGATACAATGGCTCGTCGCGAATTGGAAGGACTTGTACAACCATTTGTACCTGATGAATCAATGATGGAAATTGACTCCTCAGAGCACTCTTCTTTAAGAGATCGTATAATTTCTTGTAACAAAGTTTATCAAACAGCAGTAAAAAAAATTAAAACTGAGGAAATGTGGTCTTTCTATATAGAATGTTTATTAGAAATAAATCAAGATGCGGAAAGCTTGCCAAATTTAAAGAAAAAATTATTAAAAAATACTTTGGCACAGGCGCATCAAGCGAAGAAATTAAAAGAAAAATATTATTTACATTGGGTGGGCATATATATATATATATATATATATATAAGTAGAAAGTTTTATTAATTATATAATACTAACAATAAATAAGATCTATATTTGAATAATAATAAATAATTTTATTCTAGATTGATATTTTGAGTAATGATATAAAAGATGACAATGCGCAAAAAAAATTAGAGGAAATTCTTTCCTCTGCTACTGAAAATATTCCAGATAGCGTTTCTCTTTGGCATATTAGATTAAAACATTTATTAATTACAAAACAGGAAGAGGAAGCTAATTCTGTATTTGCAAAAGTAATATTTTTTTTATTTATTATTTTAAACGATGATATATGAAAAATATTTTAAAAAATTTGTCTTTTTGCACAGGCAATACAAATTCTTGGCGAAAAATCATTATCTTTGTGGAGAATGAAGCTTTTACATACGCAAGCTACAAATCCCAGTAAAATTGAAGAAATTTTTCAAGCCGCAGTACAAGAACATCTTGAAATTTCTAAAGATATGAAGCCTAGTTACATCGAATGGGTGGTTTTAACCAAAAGTATTTATTCCAAAATTTGATTCCTTATTCCAATATTGATTTTCTTATTTCCAATATTGGTTTGATAATAACTAAATATTTATATCATTAAATATATTATTTTTTAGGTATTCAAGCTGCTCGGAAAATATACGATAGTCTTTGCTTACAACCACCGATATGTCTTGAATTACATCAAAAAATGGCTGATTTAGAACTTATGCAACCAGAAATTGTTTTAAAATATGCAAGACGTCCTTATGAAATGGCCACTTTACAATTTGGTAAAACTAATCCTAAGGTTTGGATAGATTACATCATATTTGAAATGAAACATGGAGAAGCAAAAAAAGTTGGAGAGATACACATGCGAGCAGTTAAAACCTTAGATGCAGCTTTGACCGATACATTTATTACTGAATACGCTTTAATCAAAGCTAATCCTGATTCAATAAATTTAGCATCGTGAAACATAAGATATATAAAAATTATATAATTTTGTATGTATTATATATTTATTAATTCATAAATAATCAACATACACACGTAAGATAGAAATTTATGATTCCAATGGTATTTCTTTCTCCATACGAGTTAACACAATATTACGATCTGTTTCATTGGGTAATTTTGTTCTATCGCCAGTTTTCAATGTCGATCTCATGTCTAAACACATGATATCTGTTGAGAGCGAATGCTGTTTATCTTCTAAGTTTCTATTAATTCGTAGGAGCAAAGATTCTAAACCATTGTATGTTGCTCTATGAAAAGAAAAGGAAAATTTTATAGAATCAAAAATCTCTCGAGATATATTCGTTAATAATAAAGTATTTAGATAAATATACATACTTTGCGTTTTCGATTGCTTTAGCTAATTCATTTTCAGTTTTTTTTAATTGTAAAACTTCATTTCTTAAACCCGTTTGTGTTTCATCTTCGCACAATTCAAAACCAGGACGGTAGCTACGATTTTCTAATCTTGTTTCGGCACATTTGATTGCATCTGTTTTATGTAAAAATTCGTCTTCTAATCTTATTATTTCTTTCTGTAAATTTTCCATTTCTTTATGCATCTGTAATGTTGATGTTGATGTTAAATTTATATTAATTTATAAATACAAAGAAAGTGTTATATGTTGGATTTCACTCATATACCTTCAATTTCTGCCATTCAAGTTCGTTTCGAGCTTTTTGAGTTTGATATATCCGTTTTCTTAAAGCAAAATCAGTAACATCTTGTTGAGCTTTTATATCGTTCCTAGCACGTTCTCGCATAACTTGCATACTTTCTCGAAAACTATATACGTCGCTTAATTCATTGTCAGTAAAAATTTTCAAATTATTACAATTTTCTATCCAACCTTCGTAAGATATCTCACTATAATACAATAAATATGTATATTTATTATACAAATCATTTTATTTTATCAATTTAATAATATACTTACTTTTTTGATCTTTTCAAAGCATTTGGTTTATAACTAATATTAGCACAAGTACGATCTAATTCGAGATTTTCTTTATCAATCCTGATAGTCTCATTTTTATCTTCAATATCTAAACTTATTTTAAATTTAACTTCTTCCAAACAATTTAATTTTTCCCATGCAGCTTGCACCCTGTTAAAAATCTATTAAAGTAATCTTAATGTATATATCATATACAATAATATAATAAAAATTGATAAACATTTACTTATCAGTTAGAAAAGTTTTAATATTTTCGATAACACAAAGTTCTTTTTTTAATTCCGTATCTGCCTCATCATAAGTAAGTTCAGTTCCTCTACGACAATCTCTCATTGAAATACATTCAGCAGTAATTTGTAAAGGATAATTTAAGATATCTATTTCTTTTTCCGTGTCTGCTTTTTCATCTTTTAAACAACGTATTTCTGAGAGCAATCTTGCTAGTAAATGTTCAAATAATTCTTTCCATCTGGAAAGTTCTGTTATCCTATTATATAGATCATTGCATTTAATTATTATACTTCAGTGATATATACATCATTTTTTAAAAACGATATTCACACCTGTCTGCCAATCGGACATTATTCATATATGTATTCCATTCTGTTTTAACTCTTGTTTCGGATCGAGTGATCCTTCCTGAGCTACGCAATTCAAATGTATCTGATGTTCTACTTCCTACACTTTGCTGAAGTTCCCATTGCTTAGCATACCAATCGGATAGTCCTTTTCAAATAAATCATCTTTAAATTATTTCAATTTCTAGACTTTTGTCTATACATACCTATATGTGGTACCGGTTTCTCATACACAGTTACAGATTTAGCCATTACAAAATAAAATTTATTTTCTAATTCAATCAAACTACCGATAGAAGAATTCAATAAACTTGAACAATATGGAAATTTAAAAAATCATTAGAAAGAAGGATTCAACATGAGGTAGTTTCCATGACGATTGGTAAATATGTATATTTCTTGACTGTTATATAGGATGTTCTTTAAAAACCATTCAATACTTATACAGTACATAGAACATATTATACTGTGTAAAAAATTCTTACGAAGGCAACACCAAGATTTAAATAGTCTCCAATTTTTTTAAAACTTTACACAGTTGTAGAGCTTGTTAAGAACAATACATTGGACCCTATTAGAAAACACATTTATTTATGTATTATTTAATTTATAATTATAAATTAATTACACTTGCCTAATGAATAGTAATAATTCTTTTTCTACTATATATTCCCCATAATATTATAATAAAATACTTTAAAAAGATGGGAAAAAGAATATTTTACAGTTTAATTCAAGAAGAAGAAATTCTAGAAACAAGAATAAAGTGACTAAAACATACTGTACAATAATGAAAATAAGAAATAGAGATGTAGAATACTGTGTAAGGTTTCAAAAAAATTGAAGACTATAGATCTTGGTATTTTTTGAGAACACCCTATATATTAAAAAGAAAATTATTCTATAATCAATAGAGAGAGAGAGAGAGAGAGAGATTATAAAAATAATGTACTGAAATATCATCTCTCTTGATCTAAGGATTAATTATTTATATTTATATTTTTCTCAACGTATAATGCATATGTTTCTATATTAAATACGTTCGACATATCCATCAAAGCAGAAATGAAATTTGAAATTGGCGCGGTTTTATAAATCCAACCTACTAATTACGTTTGTTAACGTTGATAGCGCTTTATCATGGAAACAATAAGAATTAATCAGATTGATGCAGTGAAGAAGCAAATGTGCGCGTGACGCACTAAATCTACATAGTGTTTTTCTATGTTGGATTGAATTTTGTGAAAATAATATTGTGCATTTATAGTTATAAACTGATCATATGGTAGAAGAAAAATATTACAAATTAACATCATACAATCATACTCGTCTTTGTATGATAAAACTGGAAGATTAATAAGGCAGGTAGAATGAAAATTTTTAATGAACAAGGAGAACAAATCTCTCCTTGCAATCAACCGATTTAGTTGTCATAAATTGATGTATGATCGTCAATATGGTGATGGTCTGTTAGGATTAATCAAATATTCAGACAATACAGAACATACTTTCGTAAATAATAATTATCCAATTAATACGATTTATCACGGATGGCGGGAAAATAGTAATATATCGAGTTATCAAATAAAGATTTTATTACAAATAATACAATAAATATAACAACAAATAAAGTACTTAAACAATTTCATGTATTTTATATTAGAAGAATTAACGTAATCCTATCTGCAAGAGAGATGAAACAAAACTAAACGTTTTTTGCGTATAGGCTCGTGACATCTCCCCTTCCACAAAACATGATGCTGATTTCTTCGCGATGTCTTCATTTATATATGGTGTTATTTTTATAGTTCGTAATCTTACATATAGTCAGATATTCGAAACAACTAAAGCGATAAAATAGAAAATCAAATTTTGCAAATAGTTAACCTGATTTCAGGAGATTTCAATGAAATTTTATTCATTTACATAAAAAAAGCCGAATGAAGATTATTATATATTCTTAAAATTAGCTATTTAATTAAAAATTGATACGAAGAACCTAAATTTTATACATATTTTTTCTTTCTTCATTTATTTATTATAATATCTGATATATTACCAATCGCCTAATGTGAAAAACTGCATATTATATGTACTCATAATATGTGTGTGTGTGAATGGTAACGTAATCATTAACCTTAACTACACAGAATATACCGATCCCAAAAATTCCTCGTCCAAACTTATAAATGGCTAAGTCTCGACTTTCATTGGTTGGGTAAAATTTGTCCATTGTTTCATTGGCCTCTGTAAAATGCTTGTTTGGAAAAAATAGGGACACCTATAATTTAACACGTCTACTTACGATATTTCCTTCTTCACTCTATATGTCCATCCCACAAAAACTACTATAATCCTTTAAGGTAGTAAATTTGACTAGTTAGCTTGAAGTATCTGAATATCCACGCAAGATCAACTCTTCATTAGCTTCTCTTGGACTGACCTAGAATTCTTCAAAGAAATTTCTTATTTTATAGGATATTTTCTTCAATTGTAAGTTTTATTTTTTTCTTATTTTTCCTTTTAAGTTAAATTTATAAGGTTTTAAACGTTTGATAAAAATTAGCCTCGATATCCATTTGATGCTATAAGATGCCGAATTAGTTCGATCCATTTCTCAATGTTTAAAATAATATTTTTTTATACAGTAGCTTTAATTGGTGAACATATAAAGTAATTTATCCACACACACACAAAGTTCTTTATAAAATAATTATTAAATTTATTTAATTTAATCAATTAATTCACAGTTTTTCATTAGGAGGATCCATTTCTAGAAAATTCTTTAAAAATAATCCCTAGATACACGGCGAGTACACTCGTAAGATTCTAAATTAGGAACAATTTTTGTTCACGAAGCTTTCTTTAATTTATTTCAACTCATTCTTCAAGAGACACGATCAACAGAAATAATATCCAGTTATAATAACCCTTAAAATGTTTACATAGTCGTTTAATAAAAACTGTAAACTTTATAGTGATAAGATGTAGAGTCAAGCTTTTCTTCTCTTCTCTTCTCTTCTTTCTTGCATCTCGATAACTTGACCCTTTAATATGACTTCAAAGTTACATGGAATTATATATCCGAAGATTAATAAAGTTTAACAAATCTGAAGATATATGAACCTGTATTTTTCGATTTTATTACATCATTTTCGTAACAAAATTAATTTTATTTTTAAAGATTAAATATATGCTAAATATATTTAAGTTAGACTATAAGCTTCATATTACATTATTTGATTTCAATACAAGAACAAAATTTGGATTATAGAGGGTTAATGAAAAACAGAAAAAAGATGTAGAACTTAAATGGTCGTTTTTATTATCTGTAATTACTTTGTACGAGTATTGCGTATGTTATTTTGCAGATCTTGTGATCTAAGTTTCAATAGAATTCTTCACTCATAGACTCCATTATTGCATCTATCAATAGAACAGTTTTTTCCGAGAATATTAAACAGAGATCGGTATTTGTTTAACTTTGGATAAGTCTTGTTACAATTGTTAATCTTTTTGGATTCATTCAAAAATACTGTTTTAAGGATTATAGTTAGGTATGTATTATATAATATATATTCGGAAATTTTTAATAGGTACTGAAGTTACTTCTAAATCCTTTTTCTTACTTCTAATATAAACGTTAAATGAAAATTACATAATATAAACGAATTAGTTAAATAATAGCTGTGCATAAGTACAGATCAATGGTTTATGATCAGTCTTTATTGTAGCATTCACTGTATTTATTTTCTAGTAACAAGAAAACTTCGCTAGGAGATAAAAAGGAAGAGACAATTGTTGGTCAATAAATTCTTGACCTGATTCCTTACATGATTGTTTGAATCTTTGGAAATTTTTGGACTCTATATTGAAGTAATTATTTGGAAAATCCTATGATGGTCTCGATCATTATATGATCGTCCTCTAATTAATTTTGTTTGTATTACATGTTCAATATATCGAGATTTAATAGCATATTGAGAACTCCTAGTTTGTCTGTAGTAAAAGTCTTTAGATTTGTTAGGTTGATAGGTTTTTTCCTATATATCTATTCCTAATATCAGTTATGTCAGGACTCTGATCGACTTGGTTAGCTTGTTTCATGAACCACATATTAAACAAAACAATAGATTATAGAACTTCAGTGTTCTTAACGTAAATTACAAGTCATTCCTGTTTTACATAATTAATTCTATCTCATAGACTTCTGTATATGCTAGATTGCTAAAAGTAAAATGAATTAAAATCATCAATTGGACTAATAGATATTTATGAAATAACAAAAATGTATATTTTCTAATCTATTCTCATTTTCTTTACAAATAGCGGCTAATTCGACATGAATTGTTAACTTCACCTTGTTATCATTTTCTTCTTTAAAATCTTATCATTAGATATATATTTAAAACAAGGTTACATATGTGTGCTGCGTAACCAAACTTAGCAAACGAAACAATAGAAAAAGAAAACAATAGAAGAAAGAAATAAAAGAAATATTACATGGCTACGTTGAACGTGGCATGTCGTAATTCGGCATCGAAATTCAGCATTCGTTTATAGCTTTAGATGGATTTGTCCAATTTTATTGTCCATCGGAATAGCGCTAAATTTGAATAGCATTTATCATTTATTTTCGACATATGAAGATCGTTTCTATAAAGTTAAATCGTTGAGAAAATTCCATTTCTATCGTTAATAATTTATTATATTGAAATGTTTAGATTGTGAAACACATATATCTAAAGAAAAGAGTTATTCTCTATAGTAACATGAATTACGTTTGGAAACTTCTGGTTAATATATATCCAGAGTCAATGTTTGAATACATTACGCTAGTTGTGCTTCAAACGGGAAGGACAAACAATTTTGAATGATTCAATAGATCGCAATTAGTAGGAGTCGTAGTATAAAATATGATCAGGACGATGCATTTAAAGAAAGAATATATACGAACATATTTTCTCTTTGATATTATACAGCATCGTTCTCTTTCATCTCTTTTTTTTTCTTTACAATGAGAGTTTCGTAAAAAAAATATATATTTCTTTAGTTAAGCTCTTCTCTAATTATCAGTAATAAATAGGTAACAGATCGTGTCTCTTAGCGCGGTATTATATTGGTGGTGGATTGGTGGCGGATACTCCAGGCGGAGTGGTGGTAGTGTCAATGATAGAAGTAGTGGTGAGATAGTAGCGGTAATGAAAGAAAAGGGCGGTAAAGCATAGTAAAATATTGTGGCGCGCGTAAACCGTTAAAAACATAGTATATTTATCCAAGTTCTTGACTAAGCGGTGTTTTTGTAGTTGGAATTAAACTGTCGACGGATTATTAGTATGCGAAGACTCAGCATGCGAACAAAACGCAAAAAGTCCGAGAGAAACAGTGAAAGCGAAACTGAAGAAAATGGCGTCGAGTCATTGAAACGTAACGATATGTCAGATAGCGATATTAATGTCGATGAGAATAGTGAAAAAGGTAAGGAAAACGAATCTGACGAGAACGAGGATCTGAATAATACCCCCAATCGAAAATCTGTCGGAAAGAAGAAGCGCCTTCCAAGAACGCGTCATAGCGAAGAACAAAAAACGCTGTCACAGACAAACAGCAAACAAACGCCGAAAATGAAAAAGCAGTTGGAAGATGCTGATGATATGAAGACCAATACCGATCAAGAAAACGGTGCTGTAAATAAGCGAGGAGCTAATAAAAAACGTAAAAAAGATGAACAAAAGACATCACCTACGTCTACCCGTGGTGCAGTTAGCGGTGAAGAGGAGTATGAGGTACTTTTACTTATATACTAGTTATAGCAACGGCGTGCCGGTCGATTCTCCCGCCTAACGAGTTTTATTTCGAACGACGTAGATTCTCTCTTCCTTTCTATCTGTTTTCATTGTTTTTTTTTATATATATATAAATATGCATCAATATTAGAACTCGATGTTTAGGTCGAAAAGATCGTCGGTCGTCGTACTATCAAAGGTAGACGACAATTCCTTATTAGGTGGAAAGGATATGGAGAAGAATCTGATACTTGGGAACAAGAGAAGGACTTAAATTGTCCTAAACTTATCGAAAATTTTCTTCTGGATGATAATGAAACTGACGAGACCATATCAGAAAAAGCTGCTAAACCGATTAAAGCCAAGTCAGTTAAAGCAGATAAGAAGAAAGAGATGAAGAAATCTAAATATAATAAAAGACAATCCAATTTAACTGAAGGTTAGCTTTATTCTTTTTTATTTTTTTTTTTTTTATGAAAATCTATTTAATAGCAAACATAGGTAGAAAAGCTTAGAAATTATTCTTACACATTACTATTTTTTCTTTTAAATGTTCTTTCCTAAATACAGTGACTTATGTCATTTTCAAAATAAACACACACAACAGTTCATATACGTATATTATATTTATGATAAATCCATATAATTACGACACGTATTGCATACATACATACATACATACTATAGATTGTACTATATTTTGTAGTACTCAAAGTACATATACACACAATAGGTTTTGAGAGTGGCATTATTTAAATATTTAATTACAGAAGAGGAGGAACTTGAAATTGTTGATACCTTAATCAAAAATGATGAAAATCAAAAAGAGTTTGAAGTTGACAAAATAATAGAAGTACATTTTAGAAAAAATAAAAAGAGAGAATTCCTTATTCGTTGGAAGGGTTTTACCGCTGCAGATGACACTTGGGAACCAGAAGAGAACTTAAATTGTCCTGATCTTATAAATAAATTTATGGATAAAGTTGAAAAAGCAAAAACTACTGAAATGCGGGAATTAAGATCAAATCCTGCACATACTAAGCGCTATACATTGTCGACACATGATTCAGGAAGAAGATTGTCGCGTCGACATATTGACAAACAAAGGTAAACTTTTACCTTTTTACATTTTTCTTTTTTTATGTTTCCCAACTTTTTTCTGATTATACGTAATGTACTAATTTTTTACAGAGCTACATATTACGAGTGCTATGAATAAAAAGAAGTTATATACATTGATTACAATTTTGTCGTCACTAGTTTTTCGTCTTAATTTCTACATTTTCTTTTTTTTCCTTTTTTGTTTGTTTTTCTTTTTTAAAGAATGAAAACAAATTACTTTCAAAAAAATTAAATTCATATTTTTTATTCTAGTTGAAGTTACAATATATATATATTTTGTATATTTCTAATTATTTCTAATTGTTTAGAAGAATTATATTATTACCAGAGCAAAAAGAATATACACATTAGGTTATAAATGTTTTATAACTAATTTATACGTAATCTTTTTTGTGTATTTTGGTAGTTAATATTGAAAATAATATTAAGTTTATCTTATCATACACAATTTCATGCATACAAATAATAACAATTTTTTATCAATTGTAGAATAAAAAAATAAAGAAACACACTATATTATACTTCAACGAGTTAAGTACTACGAAATAAATGACGATTAAATATTTTGATGTCAACCCAAAAAGAAACATTATATTAGAATTTTAAATGATTTGATTGCATCATTCATTTTATTTATTAATGATATTGAAAACAAAAAATATTCATGTATTAATAATAATAAAGACTTGAAAAAAACAAATGTGAATGAAGTCGTATAAATAAGATGTATTATATATATTATGTCAATCATTATTGCGGGTATTGTATAGAATACCGAATAAAGTAGTATATATTCTATAAAATACTCAGAAGATTTTGGTCAATTTATGAAATGTGCTTCAGTTGAATGTGTAAAGTACAGGGGGTGGGGGAAGTATTTTTAATTTGACAATGAATCTTCATATGTCTCCGAAAAAAATTCTTCCTCCATTTTGAGGATTTTTAGAAAAATATGACACTTAATTCTTATTATTCACAAATAGGAAATTATTGAATAAATTTCTATAAATTGTACTTTTTAGACTGGATCTGTTCTTATATCGTTGAAAGCTTCGAAAAGAATGTTTCGATTTCAGTAGCAAAGCAGATATTGAGTAATATTCAATTACAAAATTTCCTAAAATCTTAGTTAAATATTTTTTGAATAAATAAAAAAAAGAATATATTTTGAGGATAGATTTTCCTTTGTAGAGCGATAATCGAACAATACACAGAAATCTTATTTCGAGGCTCAGATACTGGTTTCGATAGGTATCGGCCGAATAATAAATAAGTATAAATACACGCATAACAACAAAAATGATAAAGCACATTATTAAGAAAACATTCTCAGTCTATTATTAGTTTCTACATATAAAAAAAATCTAATAATAAGAGTTGAAAAAATGATATTTTTAAAGAATAGTTAAGCGATAACTTAAATGACGACATTAAGCGTCATCCGATGCCAAAGTGCTTCGTATGGTATGCGTATAAAAATGTGCTTCGGGAATTCCATAGATTGATCGGACAATGTATGAAATACATGTTCAATATATATATTGATTTTGGCCAATTTTAGTGGACATTCTATACAATATCCGAAATTTATATATTGCATAAAAATACATATGTATTTTTGTTTCTTTCTTTTTTTAACCTTAGAGCATCACAGAAATTTTCTACTCTATTCATAATTAACCCTTTCGCTACGGCAGTGTGCTCCGTCGGAGTGACGCCGCTGTACGGACCACCGTGCCGCCGGAGTAGCAGCACTGAATAGAGCATTGCGCCGAAAAATGTGAAATCACGGGTCTCCGCTCAACTAAAGAAAAACTGAGTTAATTGTATTTCTTGGCCAAAAACTTGATATAATGGTAACTCGACGACGCTGAATCGAATGGTGCTAATTTTTTTGCAATTGGATCAGGAGATCTTTGAGAAAAAGGGTAACGCTCGACACTCGATGGCCAAGACGAAAAATTCTCGCTACAGCATGAAAAAATATCAGAAATATATAATACAGAACTCAACAAAATCGATGGCCCAAACAAAAATACTCGCTATCGCCTAAACAAATAGAAA